TGCAGCGCGAACACCTCGCCGCTCTCCGCGCGCACCGACACGTAGCTTGACAGCGCGCGCGCGCCCACCAGCCGCTCCACCAGAGCGTACGACACCCGCGCGTTCTCCCGCGCGTCAGCGTCCCGCGCCGACACCGTGAAGACGTGGCAGCCCGGCGGGTTGTTCTCCTTCACGAACACCGTGTACTCGGGCTGCGCGAAGGCGGGCGCGTTGTCGTTCACGTCGGCCACCTCCACCGCCACGCTGGCCGTGGCCCACCGCGAGGGCGAGCCCCCGTCGCGCGCGGTCACCACCAGCTGGTAGGCCGACACGCTCTCGCGGTCCAGGGCGCCGTCCAGCACCAACGAGTAGTAATTCTTGAAGGTGGGCGCCAGCTTGAAGGGGACGTGGGGCGTCAGGGAGCAGGTGACCTGCCCATTGACACCCATGTCTTTGTCGGCCACACTTATCAGAGCGATGACTGTACCCAGTGGAGCGTCTTCTCTGACTGGAAGTGATAGAGACTTGAATTCCAAATGTGGGCTATTATCGTTTTTGTCTTCTACTTCTACAATAACTCTGCAATGGCCAGACAATGGGAGCTGTCCCTTATCAACGCCCTCTACAATAAGTTCATAGGATTTGCTTTCTTCGAAATCAATATATCCCTTTACTATAATTTGTCCAGTGATTGGATCAATGTGGAACTTGGATTTCACATTCTGTGAAATATCACTTGAGAACGAATAAATGATATCTCCATTCAATCCTTCGTCTAAATCTGAGGCATTAAGTTTAATTACCAATGTTCCATCAGGAACATTTTCTGGTAATCTCACCGCATAGAATGTTCTGTCAAAAACTGGGGCATTGTCATTGGCATCCAGTACAGTGATGAGTAGCTGGACGGTGCCAGTCAACTCGGGTTTGCCCCCATCTGTAGCCGTGAGCAATAAGTGAAGCTCCGGAGCTTCTTCCCTGTCTAAAGATTTCTGTAATATAAGCCCAAGACCTTTTACCCGTTTGTCATCGGATGGTTTTTCCAGGGAAAAATATTCGTTGGGGCTCAGGCTGTAAGTGAGCAGCGCATTGACTCCGATATCTGCATCGGACGCGCCCTCTAGTGGAAACTGGGAGTAGAGAGGCCTGGATTCCGCGATGGACAGATTCTTTAGTGTCGCCGGGAACAGGGGTGAGTTGTCATTAATGTCCCTCACCTCCACCTCCACGTGGAAAACCTGCAGCGGCCGCTCCACGATCACCTCCAGGTGGATGCTGCACTCCAAGCTCCGCCCGCACAGCTCCTCGCGGTCGATCCGAGAATTCACAAACAAAATGCCGTTCTGCAGATTCACCTCCAGAAGGTCCCCGCGGCCCTTGGACGCCACCCGGAACAGGCGCGGCACCAGCTGGGCCAGCTCCAGCCCCAGGTCCTGCGCGATGCGGCCCACGAAGGTGCCGTGCTTGGCCTCCTCGGGGACCGAGTAGTGGAGCTGGCCGCTCCCCACCTCCCAGGCGGCGAAGAGAAGAAAGGAGAGCAGCAGACGCCGGGATTCCTGGCCGCCGCCCCAGGAAAACTCCATCTCAAGTGCGCAGTGCTTGTTCTGAATAACTACGTGGTCTCAGATCAAGGGAAATCTCAACGGTGAAGTGCTGCTGCGTCCTCCATTTTTCAGGCTCCGAATAATGTATACAGCTCGTTCCAATTAAGACCAGAAGGGATATTTTTCACCTTCTTTCTTCTTTCAGATCTACTTCATGGTAAAGAGCGACATCATGTGGCTCCAAACAGTAAGTGGCAGTTCTTGAAATCCAAATCCTAAACTGCCGGGTCTTGTTTATTTTCAGCCGTTTTGGAAAATAGGATTCGATTTTTGTACCTAAAGAGGTACACATCATACCGCTGATTGAATGAATGCAATCCTTAGTTTCAACCACAGAGGCAACTTTTGCTTCAGTGGAAACTTATTTTCATTCAGGTTTTAAGTATTACAGAGACTCAAATATACTTCATGTACATTTGTAAACATACAATTATAAATTCTGGTTAGAAAATTTATGAGTTTCCTTGTGTTCCCAAGAATGCATGGGGTTGTTACTATCATGACACTCTCTTCATCCCTTTGTTTGTATTTCTGGTGTTGTAAACCTGAGGGGACCAGTCACTAGAGAAACTCTGATTCCAAGGAAAAACCATCGAAAGGGAAACTTGCAGATTCTTTTAAAATTGAATTTGTTGAATGTAGACATTGAATTTGTTGAATATAGTTTTTTAAAAAAAGAATAAAGGATTATCAGCATTTAATTGAATGTCTTCTTTGAGTTATGTAAGGATAGAAAGTTGAAAGAAGCAGAAAGTTGTAGTAAATAGCTTGTGTGGGAAAGTAGTCCAAATAATTTTATTCATTGTAAATCATTTGCTCCCATAGTAAGGTTGGTATTGTCACTTTGACTTTTATGGTTTATAAGTTACTGTTTGTTCTCCAGTATGAATACCTAAGCTTCCATTTTCTCTTATAATGCTCACATATTTTAGCCAAACTGGATCATTTCCTTCTTCCACTAACTCACCAACTTTTTTTTTTTTTTTTGAGTTGGAGCCTCACTTTTTTGCCCAGACTGGAGTGCAGTGGCATGCTCACAGTCACCACAGCCTCAACCTGCTGAGCTCAGGGGTCCTACCCCCTCAGCCTTCCAAGTAGCTGGAACTACAGGTGCATGCCACCATGCCCTGCTAATTTTTTAATTTATTTTAGAGGTGAGGACTCGCCAAGTTGCCCACACTGGTCTTGAACTCCTGGGCTCAGATGATCCTTTGGCCTCAGCCTGTATAGTGCCGAGATTACAGGGGTGAGTCACTGCACCAGGCCCCAATAACTGAGTAAACATACTGATTTTGACCCATGCCTAAATAATCCACATTTCCAAACCCTTTGCAAACCAATTCCCTCCATTTTATAACCATTTAAAACTTCCCTGACCCATGAACAATTTAATGATCAAATCAATTGAATGGTTGTCTTTACATTCTATTCAGTTCCAGATTGAGTTACTTGGATGATTTATTACATAAATGTATCTCTTCCAAGCATTTAAGTATGTATGCCCATTACTGAAATACAAAATTTAAAGGGAATAGTTGTGTCTTAATAGTTCAACAGCTCAGAGGCACTTGCCTAGTTATTGCTTAATATTTACCCAGTAAAAAAGGTTTGGTGTTTTTTTGTTTTTGTTTTGTTTTGTTTTGTTGACTGCCTAATAAAATGCATTAATTTAGAGTGGCCACATAGCTAATCAGGAAAATATGATGTTTCAACAGCCTCAATAATTTTCTAGAGATAAAAAATATTTTCTTTGAACTTCTTCTTAATTGGGGTATATTTGAAGTTCCAAGAAAACCTGGGCTTTAGCTTAATTTTTATTCCAATTACTGGAAGTTATGATCTTTGAATCATCCTGGGTTTTAATGGGCTATGATAACTTCCCAGTAAATAGAACACAATACATTTTCCTACAAAAAGAAATTTAGTATACAAAGACATAATGATGACCAGTTTCAAACTTTCTTTGCCTTTTCTGCTCAAAAACTTTTTTTCTACTATGTTTTGTCTAGACAAAGAAAAAATTAATCTAGTGTAAATAGCTTTAGTCTCCCTCTCTATAAAGACTACACTCACACACACACAAAAAACTGAATCAAAACAGAAGTCAAGACACTTTCACTGTTTGGAGATACAAACTAGAATTTTACAAAATAATTACAGATGTCAAGCACACTGTAAGAAAGTGAAAAGAATTCCACTTCTACTTATTTTATTTTATAAAATATTTAAATATATAGATGAGGGATGCAGTAAAATAGAAGTGGTTATTTATTTGGTACCTATTCACTATTTACTTGATGTACATCTATACATCTCTGAGAACTCCCAAATCTTCAAAATGTCTTTGCCAAGAGTTTTGTTAGATAAGAATTGCAAAAGGTGAGCTAGATTTGAGGTCTGGAGCCCCATATCTGGGAAAACAAGAACTTTGGATGACCCTATTATTTATACAAGGATAATAATATAAGTAATTTAAAAATTGAACTGAAGTTGGATGTCCTGTGGGTAATACTTGATGAACAAGGGAGCATCAAAGGAGAGTACCAAAAAAGAAAATGGAAGTGGGAAAAGGAAGAAGTAAAGAAAAGCATCTCTCTATTTTGCATGTTAGACTGCCTCTCCCACCCACAATGTCATTGAGTATTAACAAGGTTTCAGTTGGTTACTATTTCTCTCCAGTGGCAAGGAAACCGGAATGGAAGTCGAAGTATTTCCTAGAGGAGATGTCTAAATACATGGGGGAATGACTGGAAAATAGTCACTCTTCAATTTCATTTGATTCCAATTATTTGGAGTTTTCTACTTACTGCATGGCACACATTAATAGGGTAGTATTCAGAGGAGGTTATCCGTAATGACACTGACATTTCAAACTTATTTGATATTAGTATCTTTAACATTGTATGTAAAAGAGATGAATGAATCAGAAGTTTTGCTAGTAGAAATAGTTTTAAAATTAAACACAGTGTTGTTTTCAACATATTGTTCAGACTGAAAATAACTCTTAACAAGATTTAAAATATTCTTCTTAAAAGTTCTATGGGACTATTAAATTGTCACTTCATATTGATATTGCAGTAATTAGTAATAAAAGATGTGAAGGCCGGGTGCAGTGGCTCATGAGTGTAATCCCAGTACATTGGGAGGCCAAGGCAAGAGGATTGCCTGAACCCACAGGTTCAAAATCAGCCCGGGCATCTTGGCAAGCCCTCGTCTCTACAGTAAATAAAAAAAAAAATTAGCGCATCTGTAGTTCCAGATACTTGGAAGGCTGAGGTGGGAGGATTGCCTGAGCCCAGCAGGTTGGGGTTATGGTGGCTGTAAGCATGCCACTGCTCTCTAGCCTGAGAGTGAGATTTCTACTAAAAGAAAAAACAAAAGTGAAAAGCTGAAGATGAACAAAGATACAATCTTAAATATAATCGCTACTCTACTTTTTTTCCCCAATTGGAAAATCTAGCAACAATAGACAATATTGCCAAATAACAGCACAAGGTCTAAAAAATGAATAATATTCACATACAGAAGAAGGACCAAGACTCCAAACAAATGAATGGGAGGGGAAAAAGCTCCATACAACGGGTATAATAACCTAATATTTCAAAATGAAGGTGAAAGAGTATAATAAAAGGGACTTGTGACCCTTTCGAGGAAATGCATAAAATGGGCCAGTGACATTTGTAGTACTGTCCAGTGAGAAGGCCAAAAGAAAAGCAGCAAAAGATATCGACGCCTTGTGTGGGGATTAGTACAAAATAAGTTGGAGTTAAAATCACTAAATGATGAAATTCATCCAAGAAAAAATATTTCATTCTGTACCAAGGAGTTTAGCAATAAAATCATCCTATTACTGCACCTGCTAACAAAACAAAATTGTAAGTGTGGATCTCACTACTTACTGCTGATTAATTGAAATATTTATAACAACAAATCCTAACATTTTAACTGCAAGCCAGGAACCGCAAAAACTTTAATTATGAAACATATAATGGAGCATATTTAACTATTAACATGTTTCCAAAAGAATGCAACCCGCAAGGCATGAAAAACAAAGAGATTTTGGAAAGGATAAAGGAAAAGTACTCACTTTGGCAGAGACATCAACGTTCACATCCAGTTGCTCCTCTCGATCCCGGTTAACTGGACACGGAGGAAGGCTGGGGCTGAAGGCCATGAGGTCGGTCTTGGGAGGACCCTCCCCAGAGCACACCCTCTGCCAGCTCCCCACCGCGCTGGAGCACACCAGCGGGGGCTTGCCCGGCCTGCACGTGCCCTCGGGGGGCGGCGCCGAGCACCGCAGCGCCGTGTACAGCAGCAGCGTCAGCACCAGCAGGCTGGACACCGCGCAGATGGCCACGATCAGGTACACGTTGACGTCCACCAGCGCGGACCCGGGGCCCGCGGAGCCCGCCAGCGCCCGCGACGCGGCCTGGGGCGCCTGGCCGCCGTCCACCAGCGACACCAGCACGGTGGCCGTGGCCGTCAGCGCCGGCTCGCCGTGGTCCTTCACCAGCACCAGCAGGCGCTGGCCCGCGGCGTCCGCCTCGTCCAGGGCGCGCGTCGTGCTGATCTCGCCCGTGTACAGCCCCACGCGGAAGGGGCTGCGCGCGCCGCCCGCC